CAACCTTATTTCTGAGCTTATCTTAATTTAAACAAAAAATTGAAAGAAAAATCAGAATGAAAAATTTGCATATGTGAGAGCCTCTCCCAATACCCAAAAGCCATAGAAAAAAATTACAAGTTCTCAAGAACCAGAGATAATGCACAGTTCACTTCATTTAGATCCCAGATGATAATTAAGTAATCAAAGGCTTTCGAGCAGATCAAGCCAATCAGGGAAGGACCTCAATAGGAGACTTCCAGATACAGTTATAATGCCAGATGCAGAGTTAGAGCCCCTTTATCAGTTAAATGTAACTGAGCACTTAGGTTGGTGAAGATGTCATAATGATTGTGAGTACTGATGTATGTTTCTTTTTCTTGCATTCATTGGTAACACTTGTAAAAGATGCTGACTTGAAACCAGTTACAGGAGTCCCCTTTTTCATGTCAGAACAAAAATATGAAGGTAGAATTAAAAAAATAAAACAAATGCTACTGAGATGTTTGTTTCAATTACTATATGCATAATTACCTTCTGTCTAGGTGAGTGACATAGATAAATATGTGTATAGTTAAGTCAAACCTGAAGCATTTAAAAATACTTTTGGTCCTCTAGGTATGAATGGGTGTCCTAAAAGACTTGAGGGGAAAACCCATTTTTCTCTTACTACAGGACACTTCTGTATCCCTGAGAATGTTAGATTTTCCAGAGAGGTTGTAGTTTCCTTCACTGGAGATATTCCAGAACCATCTGGATGCAACCTTGTGCAGTGTGTTCTAGGTTGACCATGTCTGAGCAAGGAGATGGGACCAAGTGACCCACTGTGGACCCTTCCAACCTGACCCATTCCGTGATTCTGTGATTCTTTTACAGAGTTTGAGCTTAGTTTCAGGATGCATCTCACGCTTACATAATAAGTGCTGCACTGCTCAGGAGCATTCCTTGACTGCACTGCAATGCTTCTGCAGGTGTAAGTGAAAAATGGCCAGTGGATTTTATACTGATAAATAAAAACTGTTAGATCCACCATAATATGAATAGTTAGTGGTAGCTGTAAGGACTGGAGGAGAAATAAGCCATTGTATGAATCTACAAGACCAATTTACAAGGGACTAAGAAACATATAATAAATTTCAGTTTGAACAGGACTCTACCTTGTTAGAACTTATAATTTGAGGATTTTCTAATATTCAAAATAAATTACAATAGCTGCAGGCAGTGTGCAGGACTGTTAAAGCTATTCAGTTGGAAAGCTAAGGGATTTGATAATGTATACAGTTTTTCCCTTGAGGCCCAAAATGTAATTATGAAAAAGTTCTGAACTGAAAAATAGTCTTGTCATCTGTTTTCATGAGAGATAAAAGATCATTTTAAGGTGGAGAGGTTACATACAAGAAAGAAAATTAAATTTAAAAAACCCAACATGACAACAGTACAGATGCTGAAGAATACTAAGAAGAAAATTAGATATTATAATTAGAAGGGGAAATCATTCTACCTTTACTAGGCATATGCTATTAAAATATTTAATTCATCTCCTGATTAATTCACTGAATAATATGAAGACTATTACAGAGGTGATAAATCGGTAGATTAATACGTATTCAGCAGAGATATATGAGGCAGGACTGAATTAAACCCCCTATATCAATAGGAGACCGGTTAGACCCTTCTTACTATATTGGGTGTAGAACAGACATCTTATTTTTACATGTGGTTTTAAATTATCATACTGTCTCAATAACTCCTGATCAGGGGAATATGATTAGAAACAGCTTTTTGGTGCAAGCAATTCTGTTATTCTAATGTTTTTTCCTGACTTCTCTGCAGAAATTGTTAGGTATACTTTGGCAAATGAGTTCTTAATTCTCTACTTAAAGGTGATAATGCCCCTAACCTTCTACCAGCAGATTGCATTCCCTCACATTCCAAGAAAAATACACCCATCATACTTGTCATGTGTTCATCTTATTTCAGTTATTCCATTCAGCTGTGTTAAATGGCTTCCCACTTTGGAATTCTAGTTTGTTCCAAAGTTTTCTGTGACAAGTCTCTCTTCCAGGAACCCAGGAAAATAATTCATGTAATATCTATAACATTCTTGATTATTCATATTAGGAAGCCTTTCAAATTAGAACATTTAGAATGAATGTATGAGAGTATGTGGAAAAGCTGGGAGAAACCTGTCTGTGGCCAGAATCAGGCACTGGATCATGTTGCTCCCAACACTGAAAATAAAATGTGGTTTTTAAATTTGGTAAGTTACAAAACTGTACTATTTGAGGAGAAGCTGAAGAAAAATTGTTTATTAAGTAGGTACAGACTCTCCTTAGGTACAAAAAAATTGCAAAGGTCCTGCCAATGTCTAATTACTTTGGCAAAAACTGGAGAAGGTCTGGATCTACAATTATGCCATTTTACTGTTTAACTATAATTTGAGTTAAAATGAGAAAGGTACTTTAAATTAAGGCAGCATAGTAATATATTACGTCTGGCCACACCTTGAAGGATGCTTGTAAATACAGTGAATCTGAGAAGGTTCAATATCTGGTGGATTTTTGTTCCTGTAGCTGTCATTTTTGATTGAATCTATGCTGGTAAGTAATCCAAGATGAGCCACTGAGTCATTTCTAAAATGCCATTTGTGAGCTATAATATGGGTTACAATCATAGTACTAAGTGCTTAGGAGAGAAATTAAGTACTTGAAGTTTGACTATCTGGAAATGGGGCAGAGAAGCTATTATAGAGTCATAGAATATTAAGAGGTTTTAATGAACCTTAAAGATCAACTAGTCCCAAGTCCCCTATCATGCACAGGGATACCTCCCACTAGACCAGGTTGCTCAAGGCCTTATCCAATCTGTCTTTGAACACTGCCAGGGTTGAGGCATCCACGACCTCCCTGGGCAACTTGTTCCAGTGTCTCACCACCCTCAAAGCAAAAAATTTCTTCCTAATATCTAACCTAAATTTCCCCTCTTTTGATTTGTACCCAATACTTCTTGTCCTACCCCAAATAAACCTGACCAAATCAAAAAATAAACCTGACCAAATCAAAAATCATAGACGATGCAGCCTCGTATTCCAGGGGACAGTCAGACAGTCAGACCTGGTCAGACCAAGCTTCATGCCTCACCTATAGCGAAGAAAAGTATTCTTCTTCTTGCACTTCTAAGTAGTGTCATGATTCCTTTTTCAGTAGCCACTTCAGATTTGCAGAAAGAAATTCATTGCAAGGAAGACGAGAATAAGAAGATACTGGAAGTCAATATCTAGGAATGGATGAAAGGAAAAGAGATGAAAAGTCAGAATAAAAGTCCTTATTGGCTTCTAGCATGGCTGCCCAAAAGTTAGTGTAAGTTGTTTTTAATGTTCTTTTGGAGTATGTCAAATGATTCCTTTTGGCTTTGGGGAGAGGAGAAGGAATGAGCATGAGACTAATGAAAGAGGATATAGATGTTTTCTATGCCACACTTCTAAATGAACTGACAGTAAAATTATGATTTCACTACTGAATGATTTAAATACTATTCAAACTACAGTAGCATCATGCAAATGCTGATTTTATTTTGGAGACGTACAGGACAAGGAATGAAAATGTGAAGTATTCACCATGGCTGTTTCATAGCAGAACAGTATCCTGATAATTTATTTTTCTGGAAAAATCTAATTTGTTACATTTCATTTATCTAAAACTATATTTTATCTGAATCTCAAGCACTGCATACTGGGAAGTTTGGAAACTAGATTGGAGATAATGAGGTTCAGCTGAGACTTTGAAGAGAGGAGACAGAAGTCAGCTGGCTGTATTGAAAGCTGAGTAATGTGTTAAGAGAAATTAACATACCATTTTCTTAATGATCTGGTGTAGGATGATTTCTATTGAACAAATTCATTAGCAAAGTTCATAAAAGTAGGAAAAATATTTGACAGAAAGATGAGGGTGACTAAGGAATAAAGAAATAGAAATGGGATTAAAATAATCATATCAAATTCAAGGTCTGAGATGACAGTACTAGATGAGCTCCTCTTTATTATCAACTCCAGCCTCATATTGACTTTGAGTTCACTGACTAGGACAAAAGGAGGAATTTGATGTACATTAACCAATAAGTAATTATGACACAGTAACACAATGGAACTCAGAAGAGTGCAGATCCCTCTCATAATACTTCATGTGAGCCCTTTTCATTTGAGACGGGGAAGTATCAAAAGTCTTATAGACGGCTGAGTATTCCATAATTCTGAAGAGGAAAAAAAAAGATAAATTATTAACATCCCTTAAAAAAGATTTGCCTTTTAAGGCAAGCAAACAAAAACCTGAAAGGAGAGAAAAAATAAGTTATGCACTGTAAATGACAATCCTTCACTGAATATCAAAGATAAAATTTTATGATATTTCAGTCTGGTGACATAAGTTGTACCAAGAACAGAAAATGGTGTGACATCATGCTATGTATAATTATGTGTTTTGTATGCTGCTTCTCTTTGAGCTCCACTGAGGCATTTAATTCATCCAGGGAAAAGAGGAGCATAGGAGAACTGTACTTTATCTAAAATCTGGCACAAGTACAAGTAGGTATAAACTGACCATAAATAGACTCTTGAAAATTTGAAGAATTTTACTCACCAAAGGGCTAAATCTGTAACAGTGTTAAAATGGCCTCACTGAAGCAGAAAACCTCTTTCACTTAGAGGTAAAACTTAAAAAAGATTAATCAGTGTATTTGATTGTCATCTAAGGGACTAAACTTAATAAACTTTCTAGTTTTTTACAGTAATGAATACTTGTGTACTGCTGGAATTACTTCAACAATTTTCTGTTTTCTTAGACAGTGAACTAAGATCTTAAGCTATCGGAGAATGTGCATAATCATGCAGTCATGTGCCTTGTGGAACATGGTACCACAAAAGCCATGTCATACTGATCACTTGCTGTTTCCAGTGGTAATTTGATGGGTTTTTTCTTTCCATTGAAGTGGGATGCTGGAGATGGAGGTATATGGCATGCATACTTGAATTGCACATTGTTATCTGGAAATTACCCAATATTTAAGATTCAGATGTTTTCTTTTTTTCATTTCTATGACAACATCTGTAAAAAGAATAGAAAATTGCACAAAGTCAAGACATTGAAAGAGTTTTAATAAATACAGACGGTCTAACATCTGTGATTTTATGATAACGTTTGACTAAAAAATTGCTAAAATTTAAAAAGATTCATCAGTATTGCATTTGTCAATTCATTCAGATGTCACCGCACTACCTACATTCCTTTTGCCAATATCATAAAAACAATTCTGAAAATGGAAGGAGCTAGGCTGGGACAAGGCCTTTTCTATTCATATCTTCTACAATACAGTCATGATGACTTTAATACTCTTGACATACTAACAATTTTCCTCATATGTAAGTCAAGAATTATAAGCACCTAAGAAATAAAGAAAACAAAAAAAACCCCTATTTTTCTTGCACAATAACTGAATGAATTTTTTAAATAGGAAATGAGTGTTTGTTTTTTTCTCTGTATAATAATGAAATTATACATAACCTGAATCATGGTATCCTTATTAGAATATTTCCAAAGCAGAAATGGAAGCAAAAGAAGGTTTAACAGTGTAAAATTTTTTTGTTGAGTTCAGTAGGACTTGTTCTTTCTCCTGTAGGAATGAGATTAAGTGCCAGAAATGGTGCATACACATATCCACGTTTTGGAGAAATTCTAAAATCCAGAATGACTAAGTCAGAGGTCACTTCCTAGTATAACTTTCCACAGTGCCTTTCTGTATTCACTGCTTCCCAGATTTTCACCAGACTCAAGAATGGGGAGACAGGAATATCTAATTATATAGCACAGAACATGAAGCCATTTAGATAACTATTATTTGCACATGTATTACTTATATTTTATCTTATAAATCTCGCTTTTTGTTCGGGAAGGCTAATTTTAGTCCAGAGTTCCCATTTCCTCCTAAGTTCTACTGTTACAGTTTGATTCTTCTTTTCAGAGATTTTCTGAAAGTAAAAGTTGCATTAGGAGTCCATGTTGCACAAAAATCTAGTAAACTATTAGTACTTTCAAAGCTAGGTAAGTATCGCATCATCTTTCTCTGTGAATTGTGAAGATGAAAAAGCACAGGGAAGATTGTGGAAAGCAAATGGCAAATGAGGAGATGAAAGCAGGACAGAGTTTTCTTCCTTTCTATGATTCCTGGACAAGTGTCTCTACAATTTTCATGGACAAGCCTATAATATCCCATAGGAACATATTAGTTTTGTGAGTCAGGAGGAGGTGTTTTTTAAAAATTGGTTTAGATGCATGTTTACATTTACAGGTTTTTAGCAACAACACTGAATGCTAGTAGTTTTTGTAATTTAAAATAAGCCAATTTGAGAAAGCAGAATGATAGTAGTGTAAACCAGTTGCATGTAAACACACAATTGTGTGCAGCAATATAGGTTTTCAAATAACAATAAACATACAGTGATCATCTTCAAACAACAATCCTCTGTTAGAGGATAGAGCAGATGCCAGACTGAGTACTGAAGCAAAAAGAGAAAAAAAATCCACTGATTACTGCAACTGATCCTGACATTGTTTTATATACAGAACTCTCCATGGCTTTGTAATAATTCTTATCCACAGTTTTGGCATCGCTAAACTTGGCACTGAGCCCCATATCTACAAATCCCAGAACATTAAATATTTAGGTTAAAGTAAGCAAAGGACAGAGAAGCTAGTCAAACAAATCCTGCATTCGCTTGGATGAATACACTGACCATTTGTCGGTACAGTAAACACATCGTGTTCAGCAGCATCGTGGAATTATAGTAGAATTTTCCTGATCCCTTTAACTGGTCTTTGCTCAGTGACAGAAAGACATCTGAACAAACAGTTTTGCCAGCTTTCGTATTATGTGATAGATAAGGCAAAATAAGATAGCTATTCACTAACAGATAAGGGATTTTTGAAAATGAGACAAGAGAATAGCTGCAGGTGTGATTTGGTAAGAACAGGTAGTGCAACATTCTGTGTTTGGGGAAAAATCTATAAAAACACAAAGGAAAACCGTACTTGGGACAAGTAAGGGTCTAAGCACGCTTCAGAAGTGCACAGGGGCTGCGTCATCTCTTCTAACCTGTGCTTATGATACAGCCATAAGGGAGAACCCTTCTGATCCCATATATACCATTCCCCAGAAGGATCCTGACAAAAATAGCAGACTGCTTAGTTGAACAGATAGATGACATTGCCATAAAACGTATTAGTATGAAACTTGCAATTTTTTGGCACTCTACTATGGTGCCGAGAGAAATTATTATGCGATTACAGACACAGAATATTTGAGAAGGGACTTGAAAAACTTCTTGTGGTGATTCCTTAAGAAAACTTAATGAATTAATATGTAAGTGGAAATAATACATGACATTGTCTAATTGTACCATGTATGCGTTGTGCAAAGTTAAATTACTTCAGTTGTATAATAAAGTAAATATATCTTACTGAATCATTTGGAGAAAAGCGCTCAGATTTGCAATGATATCAAGTTCTTAACATGAAAAAAGCAAGGAATTAGACATAAATAACTTGAATTTTAATACTGCTCCATCACATTATGTGAGATTACTTATGCTGGACTCATTAATGAGCGTCTTAGTTCCTCCTTCCTAAAATTTATAAATTTAAAGATTCATTTTCTTTCTATCTAAAATCCCACAAAATGAAAGTCAGGTGATGATTAAGCTGAGTTCTATTTTCTGATATATACAGTGTTTCCTGTGCTGCAGAAAGAACTGCTGCATTGTAAAATGTGCTTTTTGACCACAAAATCAGTCTTGGGAACGATTACTTTTTAAAAACAACATGAATGTACTGAGAAGCAGATGAAAAGTGTATGTGGGAAAGAAACCTAACGAACATGGAAGTGAAAAAGAAATCATGATTCGTCACTTTTGGGCATCATGATGAAATACCCCGTACAGAGTCCTTGCAATTAGCCAGGATCAAGCTGGCTGAAGAAGGAAAGCAGTATCTTTATATATGTCTGGTCCTCTGTCTAAGTAAATTAACCTCTCTAAAAGCATGTTTGTTAATTCAGTTTTGCAGAGTCTAACTAACCTTAATACAGTGTCTCCTCTGAAACCAGTATGTCTGCACTGCACAAAACCATGAGAAGACAAGATGTTTGGATGGTTGTCTGAATGCCTCTGTGTTACTTCTAGAGTACAAAACATTTGCACACCCTGTGTAATTGTTTATATTGATATCCCTCCTTTGATTTTGTTAAATGTAGACAAACTGAGGAGAATGAAATCACAAATAGCTAGAATATATCTATTAATAGAAAAGGTTGGAATTGGGGAAAAGAATATAAAATAATATGAAAAACTAGAATGTAATTTGAAAGAGATTTCAGTGGGAAAAAACTGAAAGTTTTGATAAGAGGAAAATGTTCACAAATTAATTTTCAGTTCATTGAACTGAGGGTTTTTCCCCCCACAAATAACAGCATGAAAAAATGATTTCAAGTGAAATCTTCCAGAAGTGTATTTGAAATTGCTTTTATGAAATTTTCTTTCATATAGGAGAGCTCAAAATTCAGCAATTCAAAAATCAGATTAATTGAAAATGATAGCAAAAAAATCACTTTCAGTTCTACCCAACTATGGTTTTTGATAAATATCAGCAAACATACCGTTTGTTTAGCCCTACTTAGGATTCATTTCTGTGAGTTAAAATCATTTAATCTTTTTCATTTGCAATTGTGCATTAAGAGTATTACTTCTGAATTCCCCAAAGTTTCTCAGAATGTGTATATCAGTGAATGCTTGGCAATGGTACAATGTACGAGAAACTGTGAATTGGCTGGGAGTAACCCTATCTAAAAATGACATTCTATGTGATAACGTAAAGAAGACAATTAAGTTTCAACATTCATAAATGTAATCATGTTGATTTTTATGTTCTGTTTAGATTGCCAATTATTTGAGAGGTATTTTCATTCCTCTAAATATTGCGAATCATGATAAAATGCTGCTTGTGGGAAGCAAAGTAATCCTGTGAAAGAAGGTATTAGGCAGCCCAACCAGCCCAAAATAATATGTAACAAACTGCTACTGGACCATATATGGGCAATGATGCAAAACAAACTCATGGGATAAGAACCTGAGATTACTTCTGGGAGTAGAAGTGATTTAGTATTTGACAGGCACACGCTATGCTGTTTGTTGATTTTGGCAATGTTTTTACAACATGTCATGCCAATAGACTTACAATGTTAATGACTTGTCTGAACGTAAAAGCACATATCACGTTGTACACTGTTATGTGAATTTATAATGACCATTTTCTAATTTCCTTTTCTATGGGGTGAAAAGAGGACACAACCTTCAACCACTAGCCTTAGCTGATCATAACAACTCATGAGTGTTTACTGGACAAACCTGACTATCATTCAATTGGTAACCTATCAGCTGGAAGAGCAATGTTAATTTTTTATTTAATACTCATTTTCTCTTTGCTGTTTGTCTCTTCTTCTGTCTTTTTCCTTTTCCTTTTTACAGTTATTTTATGAGTGGATCACCATTCTAAACAGTTATTCTGCCTTATCTGTTTTCTAGAGAGGAAGTCCATATTTTATAGGCTCGATACTGCTTTTATGAATCTAGTGATTGCCTTATCAAACTTCATGAGTAGTAAGTCAGTAAACATATGAGGTCAATAAATATACCTATGTATCTCATTGACACATTTTTGTTGCTTACTAGAATTTGATACTGGTACTGCAGGTATTGCTAAGGCTCAAAAAATGCATCTGCACCTCTGAACTTCTATTATATTCTTGCTAAAATCTGTAACAATACTTTTTAGTCTTAATTAAATCCTGATGTTTTTACAGTTCCCAATGGCACAATCTATTGCCTATTCTGCTTAATTTAAGATAGTTTCTGTTCTTAAATTGGATTGGACTTACTTGGGAAAAAAATCTTTCCAATATGTTCATTTATTCTGATAAAAGATGTTCCCATTATGATAAAAATGGCATGAGAGGACACATGAATGTTTAAAAAGATTAATTACATTGTAGTATGCAAGTCTCATTTTTATTTTAGATTTTTTATAACATCTGAAAAAGCTCCACTTGTTAAAATTGAGCCTCTTCTCAGTATATTCACTGTTAGTTTACTCTTTTTACATCCATATATAGTCACTGCTTCTTGTGGAAAATTGTGTGTAAGAAAAAATTGCAATACTTTAACGTAAACTAAGAAAACTACTTTTGCCAAAGGGACTGTACGTACGAGTCACATGAGCAGCTCTGAAGATCTCTTTCCTGCAAGGGTAAAAAATCTCTGAACTATCCTTATTGGAATGATGCCTGTATAAGCTCCACAATGCATGTATATAGATTTTATCTTCTAATCAATGAGCTTACTGGCAACACAATGACACTAATAATCATTAACAATACAAATTCCGATCGCAGCTATGAGATAACAGTGGTACCAAGACATTCTGAAAAGTATGGTTCACTGCCCAAGTATCTATTTCTTGAGCACTTGTACAGTTTAGCTACAGTGGTCAGTTCATAGTAACATCCAGGGGCATTAAGGCAATCAAGCTCTGGCAGTCACAAGAAATCACACAGATGATGGTTACTCCACAATGTTTTGCATATGTGTTTTACCCATCCCCAGAAAAAAAACAAAACAAAAAACCACAACAAACACAAACGAAAACACCAAAACAAACAAAACCAAAACAAAAAAAATACCAAACAAATCACAAACCCCATGTCTCATGAACATGATATGGCTGAAATAAGAAAAAAAATCCACCTCAGAAGTAATAATAAGCCAAAGGAAAAAAGCCTCAATATCATTCCACGGCTACTTATCTCTTCATCCATTAAAAGCAGGAAAAGAATAAAGGTTTGTTTATAACTGGAAATAAACCAAATGCTATTATGGTTATGAACTATAGTTATATTATTTTTAGGTGATGTCTGACTTTCAGTAAGATGTGCTTGAGTGTCCACAGTGACTCTTTTTGCATAGAACAGAATTGGAATATACTGTCATGATAAATTGACAGTATAGGAGACTTGCAAGAGCATTGATTGAAGAATAAGAAATGAATTTTAAAAAAGGGTTCCAAAGGACACAGATATGTACAGCTGTAACATTAAACCTGGCTATCTCTTTCACTGCTACCACATTCCACAGGTGTGGAATAGGTAAAAGTATGTAGTGAGGGAGTGATGACAGGTCTGTATCTATACATCATTCCTATTGAATTGCATATGTACACCTTCTATTTATTTAGGTATTTCTGTCATTACGTTTGGATGAGTTTCAGCAAGTTAAACTTTCTAATTGACTTAATGGAAACATTTGAAAAAAAAAATAACCTGTTCTGAGAACATTTTACTTATGCATTTGACATTTGCCTGTTTTTCTTCTTAAGAGTATTTGCATGAAAAACAGAGAACACAGAAGTTCATTCAGTTCCAAGATCTATTTCCCACCTATGTCAGAATCTAGTCAACATTAACTAATTGAACTTCAATGGATTTTAAGTAGATTTCATAATTACAGAAAGACTCTGCTTAATGCAGAATAGAAGGTAAAATGGGCTTAAAGCCAATTAAGTGCTCTCCTGCTCATAGGTTAAATCCCAGTATGAGTTAAAATAGCCTCAGGCTTTCTGTAGCTTGCACCAGATGGTAGAACCCCTTAGAGGCAATTATATTGGCAGGGATGACTGGAGCATGGTATGTTCCAAGCATAGTCCTTCCTGCCCCAGTACATTTCCAATAAGTATTTCCTTTGCCAGGTTATTGCAATGACAGCTTTACACTACTCAGAGATTTCTCCCATGTGGGATAAATCCCCAGTTAGTCAGAACAGGTTTAATTCTGCTTAGAACTGCTAAAGCAATGTACAGCCAACTTGGCTTAGAACAACAATTGGCCCCACATCCATAGCTAATGAATAAGCAATAGTCCAGTTCTGTATGACATCAGTTTTGTGTGTGAGTTGGGTTTTTTTAGTGATTCTATTTTTTCTCCATCCTTGTAACGGTTCATACCTACAGACTATCTGCATGGAAAAAATGATTTCTGGTACCTATCCTAAATTGCTTTTCCTGTAATTGCTATTCACACCCACTTGTGCAATTAGCACAGTTATACTGGAAAAAAACAAGTCCCCCTCCCAAAGCTTCAAGTTAGCATTCAATGCAGCATTTCAACAGGATTCGTTCTCAGACCTTATGGATCTAAACTCTCAGCCTGCCCTCATAGCTCATAACCTTTAATCCTGACATCAATCTCAGTGCTCAGTGCAATTACTATAGTACTGTGTTCTGAAAACTGGCAAAGACTCAAGAGAAGTTTGTGAAAACTTGCAAGTTTCTCATCCATTTTCATTAGAAAACTGGTGAGACACAAATCTCCTTCAGATGTTCTCTGAAATTTCTCCTACTCATCAGTGAGGTATTGAATAGCATCTCTAGTCTGTGAGGTTGAAAAATCACAGAGAACTGTTCTGTTTGCATTACTGATTTCTACAGGTTGGCACAAGCCCTGCACAGATTTTCTAATTCCTTTCAGGAGTTTCTGGTAGTTATTTTTTTCTCATTAATCTAATTTCTGGTGTGAATGTATGACTTCAACACTGAAAATCTTAAAAGGATGCTCACCAGATTCTCGATTTTCTGTATTGAAGGTTCAGTCCGTTTCTGGATCAGAAACTCTACTACAATCGTTACTTCAAATAACAGACCTTTCCAAAAAAGGTTTTTTGAGAAGATGATAGAAAAAGTATATTTTCTGGAAGCTGTTTTTTTTTCTCTATCTGAGCTCAGCAAGGTACCTAGATTTGGTCTCTGAAGATATTTTTGCTTTGGTCCATTAAGTGATACAGCTTGGTATTGATCTGAGGCTTTATTTCCCTGTGCACTTCATATCCTTACAGTCTAATCCTGCAACATTTCAAGAAAACATATCAGACCACTTTTTTGTATTCCACTGTTTCCTGGCCTCCCTGATACATTCTGCCCAGTGCAAACATCAAGTCTTCACCTTTCTTAATGTCATGGGTCTCCACCTCATGATGAAGCACTGATTTTTTCATTTCTTTATATTCTCCATGTTAAACATTCAGCACTGACATACATCAGTGAAGCCAGTGTTTTCTCACTTTTGCTTTTGGATAACACCATCAGATTTTCTGTCATTTGCAGATCAAGGAAAGAACATTGAAAATATATAGTTTGCCAAGTACACAAGGTGAATATTTTGCTTTCAATAGCATAATACCAACAGTTATTGTAAACACATATATCACTTATGACTGTCTTTTACTTGTTTTCGTGATGAAACTCTAAAAACCACCCCAACCCTGTAGACATGTAAACAATTTCAATTAAAAGTGTCTAACTATAAAAAGAAATTAAACAAGTAGGTTAATATTTTTAGTGTGATGTTCTCTGAATGGTAGCAAATAGGTAAATTAATGCACACAGTTTCTGGAAAAAACACACTATATGAAGAATATACATACAGCAACTCTTTTCTGTCTTTTTTTTTTGCCTCTTTGAAAGTTAAGATCTATGGGATCTTATGTATCATTCTCAGTTTATTAGTCTATAACTTTATGATATTTTAGCAGCTGGGTACACTGGAATTCAATAATGTTGTAATTTATATTGACAACCTTTTCATTCCTAAGTCTCATTTTTATTGTACCTGTATCTTGTACAAATTGCCACACAAGATCCTATTAGATGAGACAGCTAGATTGTTTGACATATGAAAAATATTAAATGTTGATATTTTGATGAAGGTCAACCCATGCAGTTTGATAGGAAATTCCTAGTATGAATTTCTCAGATTTCAGACCTTTAAGTCCTTTTTATGAAGAAAAAAAAAATAAAAAATCAAGGACCAGATTTGAAAACAACTTGAAAGTAGGGTGTTTGTTACGATTCCAACACACATTACAAGACTGTAGGGTGATTAAACCATCTCAAATCATATTTTATAGATTTCTCAATCATAACTACCATATTTTAAATCAAAATATGGCATTAGCAAGGATAAATAAAACCTTGTAGATTTTATTTATTACATTACCTTGATCTCTCTTTTCTGTTACTGTTTCTATTTCTGTTAAGGTGAAATCCTTAAAAACAGTGAACACCTAAAAGCAGAGTTTTATCTGTGCAAAGGTTGACAGGTTTTTGTATTGAGGGAAAGCAGGGGTCTTGCATTATTAATTTTTTTCTTTTGAAAAACAATCTTGCATGATAGACGCATCAATGATAGGGGAATTTCCTAGCTGTGAATTATAATTTCCAATTACAATAACACTGATATTTCAAGATCATGAAGAAAGGATACAGTGTATAATATAGGTAGACTGGCTACAGGGCAAATCATACAAGGTAACTGAATTTTTATTTCTGTGACTGATGATTGGTTGTACATTTGCAAGTTCCATGTTTAATCAATAAACATTTGCAAGTGTAGTAACACTTACCATAAATCTCCCATTACACTGTTTGTTCTGTTCCCTAAAGAGCCCATTAAAAAAAAAAATTGAAAAAATACACAGATATTTTACGCTAAAACTAAATGAATATTTTTACACACCTACAAAGGTGTTTGCATACTGGATTTTTTCTTCTTTGAGGTGAACACCTTAATCTTTTCCTTCCCTCCCAATATTATAGCTTTTTATCCTTCCTTAAGGTTTTTTTTTAACCCAAATCCTTCATAGTTATAAGATATATCCTGAACATAAGATTACAGATTACTAATACAGAGAGTATTAGTCCTGGTTTCTATTGTGACTCGACTTTCTGACTTCCTTTTGTCTCCTTTAAAGACTACTTTTCTTCTGCTATACAATTTCCACAGTGCTTATTTGTTTTATTTCTCTATAATATTTTTTCCAATTCTCTCTTCCTGCTGGAAGGGACACAGATGAAGTGGGTCAGTGCTAAAGAGTTGTGATAGTATCTTGGTATCATTAGAGATGCATTTTCTTTCTCAGCCATTTTTTTTTTTTTTTTGGCATAACCCACTTAAGGATCAAATTACAGCATAAGCAACACAGCAATTTTTACTAGGAGGCATTTACCACACAGGTATTTAGAGACCAGTACAGTCAACCACAAACCAGGTTTCAAGTTTTAAACAGAGCCTAGTTCCACTTAAAAGCACATTTTTGCACTATGGTTTTCAAAGAAAAAGCATATCAGTAGCTTTCTGTTCTGATTTTTAAGTGATATGCTGCTTGGGATCAACCTTTGACTCACTAGTGGCAAGTGTAGAAATTGTGAGAACTTGGCCTTCCATAGGTTCTTGCAGACTTATCAAAATGCTTCAGAAAACATACATATTCTCCTCTAGTCCAAAGCTGACGTGTAAAACTAGGGAGAGTAAATGAGCAATCAAACAGGAAAAATGGCACGATGATCAGTGTGCAAAAGTACACACAAATGTTTATACCATTTTTTTTTCAAATCTGACAAAGTGCATGCACAATTGTTTTTGTATTTAACTGGTTGACTGCATTTACGAGTATTTCCCACACCATCCCATGACTTTTTTGGCTATCATAAAAAAATCCTACTCCTACTCTGTAAAGCAGCCCATGGAGATGAAAAATGGGAAGTTTACACCAATGTGCAGAGCTTGTGGTTAAGAATCAGCAGTTCCTGTACATAACATTTTATACTGGATCGTGAGGCAATGAGAAAATACCGTCAATTAAGAAGGACTTTTGACATCAGGCCTTTCTGCAAGCCCTTGACCAGCAGGCAGGAGAAAGTTATCTAAAAATGAGAACTTAAAAACAATATTTATAAAGCATAACTACTTTGACAGTAGAAATATTCGAACTTCAACTTACTAAGGACAACACATTAAGTTTCTTAATCTGTAAGCAAACAGTCAGTTCAGGCAAATGTATTTACAGTAGCAACCTCTTGGACTAGTGTTAGCCTGTCGGGGAATGCTTCAGTTCCCTCAGTCTTTCCATCCTCTTAGTCAGTATTTCCTTGATTTAAAAATATCAAAAATTCCTGTTGATTTGTTTATGTTTGGATATATCTTCCTTGCTATTGAAACAGTTATATTAGCTTAATTATCTGTTTAGCTGGCAAATGTTTGTTGTTGTTGCATCAGCTTTTCTACTGGGCTTCAGGAGAAAAGAAGGTTCACATACCAAGAAATTTGCCCTGTCTCTCTTAGGAAAAAGATCTGAAAATTCTCTGCAGCCTCATTCTCTTATAAATTCATCCTTGCTCTTTGCATTTACCTTTTTTTGGCCCACAAAAATGTTTTAGATGTGGATGTGACCGCTTCAAGTTTAGAGACCTGAAATTAGGTGTCTACACATAGCTGATTGTGTTTTCTCTGAATACTCCCTATAGTCATCCCAGAACTATTCAATATATCCAGGTCCTAGAACTGTTCACTCCACCCGTGGAGCTTGCAGAGTGGTTCAACTCACCCTCAAATGCATTTCAGCTTCCTCAGAGCATCTCAGGTCTCTTATGACATGTGTCTTCTCTCACTTTGTCAACAGCAAAAATCAGTGAGGCCAATCTGCATCAGGATTTACATGGTGTTCACACTGGTGGAAATGCAACGAATCTCAGGTCAGCTTGCTCACCTACTATATCTCACCTATTGCTAACCGGCTTACTGAAGGTGGAATAGGATAAAAGGAGAAAATTCCTCTCCTGAGCAACATTTAATACAAGGAAAAATCTATATTATTGTTAACTTCTAAAAACTAATTACTTTTAAGCTTAGGATGGAGGTTAATACTAAGTTGAAGCAAAAAAAGAGGACACTCAATTTATCAGATGTAGAATTATATACTATGCACCATAAGATTGTTTTCCCATGGAGAAAGTTTTGCATGGCTGTATATGTTAAAGGGAGCTCCTGGCACTGTAGAACCACACAGCTGCTCATTCATCCTCCACCTCCTGGGCAACCCCCTTAATGGGATGGGCAGGAGAATCAGAAAGAAAAAGTGAAACTCATGGGTTGAGATAAGAAAAATTTAATAACTGAAACAAATAAAGCATACTAATAATGTTAATAATAAATAATAAAAAAGGAGAGAGAGATATGAACAAAACCTGAGAAACAAGTGATGCAAAATACAAACGCTCACCACCTTCTAAATGATACCCAGTCTGCCCATGAGCATGATCAGCAACTCCCAGCCAGCTTTTGTCTATGGAGGTGTTCAAGAAATGACTGGACGCGGCACTTAATTCTGTGGTTTAGTTGACAGGGTGGTGATCAGTCAGTCAAAGGTTGGACTTGATGCTCTTCAAGGCTTTTTTCCATCCTAAATGATTCTGTGAAAGCTTAAGATAGACTTATTAATATTGTAATATAGAGACTGTGCATGTGTGAGGCTTATTTATAAAATATGTTGGTTCTGATTGAACAAACTACATGAGTAAATCCAACTTTGGATACAGAACAGTGCAAGTTATATTAAAAAGTCATTGTATTTGAAAGTTAGAGCAAGACAGTATAGTTAAAAAGTGATTGGATTAAATCAGCTTTAAGATTACAAGACTTTAAGCAGAATTTAGTAAGTGAATTTTAGCACGTGTATTTTGTTATAATCCCCTCCTATCTTTTTTCATTTTTATTTACTTTAGATGTGTAGCAGTTTGAGCCACATTAGAAATCCAAAATCCAATTTCCAGGCTTCCCCCACCCCTTCCCACAATTGATCCTAACACCGGAGAGAAACTTTCAGATCAGAGGCTTCTGTAGGGGAAGAGGGAAGTATATACATTTATTTACACAAATAAATACTATACAAACTAAAGGCAACTATATACATATTACATTTCTATCAGTCAGTCCTTTCAAGCCCCTCCTTTAACTTTAGTCCAGAAGCAGCTTTTCAAGGCTGATACATAACACAGTCTTTTGCTGTGGGAGTGTTCTGGGCTCCTGAACGCTCCCCCGTCACCAAGTTCCAGTAGTTTGTTGCATTTTCTCTCCTCATGATGTCCAAGAAAATAGCTTTGAGTCCTTGCTCTTCTTCTGCTATGTGATTTCTCATACCTCAGTTTGTAGGCTGCTGCAGTGTAGCTTATCGAGCGTCTGTGTCCTGGAATCTTTGTTCCTCTGCGTCAGTTCTCAGCTGCCCCCCGTCAGCTTCGGCAGGCAGCTCCCGAGCTCTTGGCTCGCCTCCAATTTCGCCTGGGATTCTTCTCCCGAGCGCCGAGCCTACTTCCATGGCCCATCCCTTGGCTCAGCTTCAAGATGAGCCTCTCCTCCACTTACAGCGGAGGGAAAGAAGAAAGGCCCCCTCTACAGCTTCACTGCAGAAAAGGAGGGGGAAGAGGTCTTGGCTGCAAAGCCTGCCTCTCTTACCTCAGGTACTGTGAATCTCTTCTTTCACAGCACACACTCCAAATGCTGACTCTAACTCCGGCCCAGGCAGAGTTGTGGGGCCGCAGGGCTCCCCTCTTCTTCCCAGAGGGGGAGAGAGGGAGCCCAGCCACTCCCTGGCCTTCTCCACCTACATGCAGCAGACACCAACAGCAAAACAACCAAGACAGAACTGTCAACCGCTTCCAGTGCTGTGATATATGATTTTGAGCAGAAGAGAACAACATAAGTGGTGATTGGCTCTCCAGGGAACACTGCCCTGGCACCCGATCACCTCTGAGCCCCCCCAGCCTCTCAGGGGGCCAATTTCAAACTATGACAGATGTCAATGAAATAAGACACGTAAAAGACTCCTACACCAATTTGCACCATTCCAATTTGGCTCTGCTAAAGCTTATAAATTGTTCTCCTGTGTCTCAAACACTGCTGAATCAAAGCTGAAGCCATCACGTGGACTACTATAAACTCTTAGTTCTTCTAACTTGTTTTCATCAATGATATTTTGTTTCCTACAGCTGTGTGTCACAGAAAATATGCAACTGTCTTTTATAGAGTTGCAAGTATTACTAATATAAATGGTTAGCACTGTCCTCAAGGCATCAGAAGAACAATCAATGAAGCCCAGGGAGTTCTGTCTTCTATAAACAAGTGTTTAATACTTCAAGACTACTGAATGATACGGTGCAAGACTATGAATAATTGTACCTGAGGGCTTATGCAGTTTTAAAGACTGAGAAATGTGTATGCTATCACAATACCTTCTATCTTCAGATACCTCTTGGCTCTACTGCAAGCCTTTCATGAATATTCTACAGCGTACGTCATGTTTTCTATTGCTCTGTGTGAAATCTTTTGTTTTGATTCTCTGTGCTTCCTTTCGTGCTGATAAAGTGTTATGAGTGCACGAAATACTTCCCAAGTGACTAACACAATATGCCCAATGCCAGTGAAGCTTTGAGCAAGCACATCCCTTTTGCTGAATGTAAAAAGGGAGATATCAGTAACAGCATTATAAGCCGCACATTTTAACAAAAATAATATAGTAGCAATGCGTCAGCCTAGCAGGAATTGCAAATAAATCATTAGAGTTAGGAACTCAAGAGCCATGCACAAAAGATTAAATTTATTCATACTGTTCTTTTTCTGTCTTTTTTATTTATTATATATCATCAAAATTACATGCAATATCTCAGTCACATTTCTGGGATACATCTGCCAATTTTTTTTAGGCAAATTCTTCGGACTTCACGTAGATAAGAACTTCTATTGAAGGAAAAATGAGCATTTACCTGAGTGAAACCTTCTACACTTGTTCTTATTAGACACGTTTCAGCTGTCCTGAGAGACATTTCTCATTACCCTACAGATTACTTGAGCAGACATGTAGGTAGACGTGAAAACACCATCCAATATGCATGCAAGCCCACTGTAGACAGTGGCACCAACAACCACTGGCACACATCATGTCAGTACCTCACATAGTTTATTTAGGATACCTTCCATTAACTCTATTGGATCAGATTTGGTCAAATAACTTCTAACTTGCATGCATGAAACACTTGTGAAGGGAATTCTGTGAATGCATAAGTTCTGGGTTCCTCTTAAAAATTCAGTGGGTTCACTCTGACCTTTAGACTTGATTTATCATGCATATAAATGCTTTTACATGTGCATATGGTGAATTTTTTGTGCCTATGTGTGAGAGGCCTAGGCAAATATTCCCTAAGGAATTCTTTACACACTGCTAATGCAGTATCAAAGTATAATTATATATTATAACATACCTTAGGTGATGTTTAAGACCAAGGGTAGTGAAGCTAGTGAAAGGACTAGAGAACAAGTCTTAGGAAGGGTGGCTGAGGGAGCTGGGTGTGTTTAGCCCGAAGAGAAACAGACTCAGAGGGGACCTTATCATCTACAACCTGAAAGGAGGTTGTAGAGAGCTTGGTGTCTCTTCTCTGATGTAACAAGAGACAGGACCAGACAAAATGGCCTCATATTGTTTCAGGGGACGTTTAGATTAGATATTAGACAAATTTTTTTGCTGAAAGGGTGATCAAGCATTGGAACAAAGATCTCAGGGAAGTGGTGGAATAACTATCCCTGTAAGTACTAAAAAATGTGTAGATGAGGCACTTGGGGATATGGTTTAGTTGTGAAGGTGGTAGAGTTACATTAATGGTCGGTCTTGATGATCTTAGAGGTCTTTTCCAATCTTAATGACTCTGTGATTCTACGATTCTATGTTGCTACCACTGGTGACAGTCGATGCTACTTAATGACTAAAATGGAGATACTCTGATTTACAAAAGATATAGTTATTGTCAATTATTGTCTCAGAGCTACAGCTCTGAGAAATTTCTTTATGAATAACCGCTGCTTATTTTCCAAGCAACAAATTTTATTAAATCCAGCTTCTCCACTTCAGAATCCATTTCTGTGCAACTGAAGAACTTCTTCACTCGCACAACTATGTGTATTTGTCTGAATTTAATGTCTACTTTAAAACAAAGTAGGACTCCAGCTAAAACTAACTGTAGGTATGGGCATACGAAATCTGCTTGAGTGCACTCACACTAAAATAATCACAGCAAAAACTACAATAATAATGAAAATAAAATACAGGCATCACTTGACCGTGTATGACACTCTAAAAACAACTCATGAAAACCTGACTAATAAGTGCAATTTGTTATTAGGGACCACGTTCCAGGATACTAAAACTCAGCTCACTTTTCTCTGATGATATGAGTTTATTTTATTTTATTAGTTTATTTTAGTGAGAACTCTGTATATTCTCTCTATATCTGCATTTAATAATTTTTGCATGCATGCAGTTCATATTTTCAGAATGTTTCGGAAAAAAAGAGTAGACATTACAGACAATTGTGCGACATGCAAATAATTTCAATATTCTTTTCAGATCAAGTCTGCCAGACAGATGGCCCTGGAAACAACAGTGTTGATTAAAAATCAGATACTCAAATCATACACAAAGAGAAGCAAACAAATTACTATTGTCAAAAAGGGGCTCAGGAACATTTCATGCACCAACAACCACAAGGTTAAGAATGAACCAGTAAGTGCAGGAAAGCAATACTGATGTGTGCAAGGATTCCAAGTTTTTTGTGTTTGGTCTATTTTATTTTAACAATGATTTCCATCAAGAACAAGATTGAAAACTAGAAATAATTCTAATTCACATTTAGGTACTATTTTCTGAAATGCTCAGATGCTGCAGCCAGAGTTCTACCACTGCCTTCTACAGCAGGGTATAACAAGCACTGTAACCTTTAGCTCTTGCAGGGAGAAATGAAAGCCCCAAGCAATCCCTAAAAAACCCAACAACAACAACAACAACAACAACAAAACTCACACAAAACCCCCCAAACAAACAAACACCTACCCCCACACACACACCCACAAAAACAGCGATAGGAAATGAATCCATGATTATTGATGACACTCAGCTCAAATCTGGATTTTTAAGCGATTCAAAGTCTCACTGCATTACTTGAGGAGAGTGGTTCTCAGGGAATGATTAAGCTTTATGGAGCTGCTCTCCAGAGCAACTCACAACATGCAACTCCCTTCTGGGAGCCAAGTCACCAGGAGAATGGCATAATAAATGAAAAGGCTGAAGAAAAGAAAGCAGCCATATTTCAGGAATTATCAAGCAGATAAGGAGACATTTGTCTTTGAAGGATCTGGATAAGTTCTTCCCGTGCTTACATTAACAGAGTTCCTCATGCATTTCTGACCCAGAGAGCTGACATCACGCATTCAGCAAGTTCTAATATCTCCAAGCCATGCCAGGTCTTCCTCCTTGAATCTAAAATGTTAAAAGCAACTTTAAGAGAGGGGTTTGGAAATATCACAGGTGTTACTAATCAAATGAGTCCTTCAAACCAATGCTGTTCCTGACAGCTGTTGAATATTAAATGAGGCTAGACACAGATGTGACCAAGAGCCTGAAGCCTTGCGCTTCTAAACGGTGCCTGGAGGAAGAGAGTTTCTGGCCACTGAAGTAGTCAAGCAGTACCTGACAAGCCATTCATTAAAATGGAACAGTCTATTAATGTCTCTCCTTGTTTCAAGGTTACCACATAAATCAATTTACAAAACCTGAGACCTTTAGGAAGATGAGTAGAGCAATTTGATATAGAAAAATAGCAAGTTGTAAGAATTGCTTGGAAAAATAAAATAAATAAACAACCCTGAAATATAAGAATAATCATCACATACCCAAAGTACATGAGGGTTCAATAATGAAGTTTTAATAAATTGTTATTAAACATGTCTACAAAGTCTGTTCTTAGCCCATACTGAGCATTTCTTTTAGAGGAAAAATGTTCTTGAGAAATCTGTAGCAGGAAAATACTAAGTTACAACAAATATAAATCTACTGTGAACTTTGAAGAGCAACTGAGCTTCACAGAACAAGACAGTGCTCACAGCTACTACACAGAACTTTGATGTACTTTTCTCAGTAGCTGTAATTGTTTTCTTTGGTGGGTCCTCATAGATGAAGTGTGTTACAGTTCTGTAGTGCAAAAGTAAAAGATATTTATCCCAACATTTGTGGCCAAAAGCTACATTAAATACGGTCAATTGCATTCATTCAGGAAAAGGAAAAAAAAAAGAGAATATGGCAAGCCAGTTTTCTACAGAACAATGAAGTTCTTGTGCCTACAGGCTACATGGAGCATAAATTACAGCAGAGTGAGAAAACTGGACTTTAAAAAGTACATTTATTTTCTCAAAACACCTGACAGTTACCTGTAATCCACCTACTTTGCTAAAAATCCAGTTGATGACAGCCTTAAAATGGCTAGTATTTTTTAAGTGCCATAGATATAGTTGGTTAAAACTATTATTAACAAGCCTACTAATGTGTTTATAAATTAAATAGCATTGGGTGTTGATGGAATGGTATTTTATGCAGCTGAACAAAAACTTGTAGTAAACCTGACGGACTTGAGACTGAATAAGTAATATTCAGTAGATGTTCTGTAAGGTGCGTGTTTGGTTTTTTGAGTTCGTTTTGTTTGACTTTATGAACTATATCTTCCAGGCAGCTGCCTTAACTTTGAGTTTCTACACAGATAGTAAACTTCTGTTCTCCCAGCTAGGGCTACATGATCGTACCTGAGGTTGTGTCACCAGCATCTTTCATCACAGGTGCAAGGTGGGGCAATATATGTTATCTCTCAACACTGAAACAATGAGTTGGCTGAATATCAAATCAATCATTTACTTGAGCTAGTTTGTTTAAACATCAGTGCTTGTGGGTGATCTTTTCAGTTTCCTTGGGCTATGTATGTCTTTTGGATGTGAAAGATTGTTCTGGAAATCAGGCAACAAGTGTCTCATTCTTGATAATGCAGGCATTTTTCTTTTCTTTTTTTCCCTTTCTGGTAGACCACTTCTAACCTAAATATCCTGAAATGCATTTAAAGTAACAAGGATTAAATTTAGCAAGACTTGAAGCTTTAACACTATGGATTCAGTGTAGGTAAAGGTGGAGGTGGTTGTTTGTTGCATGTCCGGACTAGGGAGTGAAAGAAAACCTGTGCAGCACTGAGAGGAAAGAAAGAAGTTTTGTAATGTCCATAGTAAACATAAGTAGATGGAGTAGCAGCCTGTCAGACAAATGCATGCAATAAATGACACTATAAGGTCATTAAAGAGTCATCTAGGTCTAGCACTGATATAGCAAAGAGGTTTTAATCAAGATCAAGCCAAACCATATTAACTCTTTCCTAGACAGCAAGTAAAATTACTGTCCTACAATCTTTCTTCTAAACATATTCAATGTTAATGTAAACAAGGCTGTAACATAAACATCTTTTTCTGAATGGCTAGGATGTGATCCAAATATTTATCCAAAACACACATGAAAGTGTACTACATATTTCTAAGTATATATATATAATATGTATAAGATGAGCTAAATATATTGCCTGTTCTTAAAACCACAGAAATACAAACAAAGTTAGCTGATTTAGATTTTTATGAGAAAACTGTTTACTTTAGAGTCTAAGCAACTTAGCCAAGCCAAAAATCTGCATCCAATTTAAAAAGCAAATAGCACACCAAATATATCATTAGCTGAAGAAGCATTCTAGCTGCTCAACCAAGTTAAAAAATAACCTCTTAAAGTTTGAAACAAAAACATATTCATATATGAGTGTTATACAGAAAACACCCATTACATGAATCATACCAGATAAACCATTATACAGCCCTCAGAGGTCCCAGTCTGCACAGCTAAATTAAAGCAGGGATTTAAATATGCTGAAAACCTGTTCCAGTTAGTCGGATTTGGACAGATTAATTCAGATGTAAACAGCTTTTCATACCACTTGCAAGGAAAACTTATAGTAGCCAATTATATTTCAAAGTGTTATAAAACATATATGGTGCGACTAAAATATCAGCATTTCCAGACTTTTTCCTTACTGCTCTTATAAATGCTTTTGAAGCCACCTCAGAAACAACCAGGACATTGAAAGGACAATTAGGTTCTATATTTAAAATAAAAATAAACCAAGTCTTCCTCTCAACCTGTAAACACAAAAGCCCTTCATTTTGGCTTTATATCTTTTAAAAGTCTAGTCTTTTCAGGTCGATTTTTTCTTTTTTTTTTTTCTTTTTTTTTTCCCCAGAGTAACTGTGTTATCCTGCATATGGATGGAATGCTACAGTCATTAGGCTGTAGGATAGATTTCAAGTACCAACTTTTTTTGAGATAATTTCTCTTGTGTCTTAGAAACTTCCCAATTAATGCGTCCTGGAAAATAATGTATTTCAGAAAACTTACTGCTTATTGGTATTCCAAACAGCTCTGTTATGATGGTATACTAGCAAAAAACACCCCTGGATCAAAGATCAAACACAAGGATGGAAAGTTTTACTACAGCCCACCTGGTTTTATTACCAAAATATTCTCTATTCAAAAAAGAAAAAGAAAAAAATCCCACCATTGTTACCAGAAAACATTTTAGATTTTATGAGAAGACCAAAAACTGACAAAAAGACAAATTCCTCAGAATTCATCGATTCCACCTTTGCCAGACATACACCTATTGAATACCAAAGTCAAATCAATATTAAAATTAACCATATTATTCCAATACTCAATTAGCATGTTAGCTGTATTATGCATAAATTTATTGGAATGATCCTTATACACCATTCACAATTGTTTGAAAATATTATGTTTCCACTTCAGACTAGTTACTGAGACTCCCACCTCTTTTTATGTTGCCAGTCAATACACTAGTCTTTTTTAAACAGAAAAATCTTTAATAAATACAAGCAAGTACTGCCATTTCTGCACAGCCAGCCAGCATATAAATATGTGTACTTACAAAACCCAATAATTTCCTAAACATTTGAGTACACATAAACCTGTAAGCATTTGCAAAACAAATTAAAATGGATGCAGAAATGTTTGATCAGCACATTAGATTTTTACAAATGCTCACAGACACTTCATTTTGCTTTTAAGTTACCTACATTTCTGCGTATTACATTGCCAAATGGTCACATTAGTTGTCTCTGAAGCAGTTTTCAGAGACAATATGGGGAAGCTATAATTATAGCTATGTCAAAGTGATGAAAAGCAAATGAAACAGAAACAGGAAGGGATATTTCCTTAGATGCTACTATTTCTCATAGGGATAATGATCACATACTAATATACATAAAAGGTCAAATATTTTGGGTTTTGAACACTACTAATGTACTGAAAAAGATATTAGCTCAGTTGGTTAAAGCAGGATGCTAATAATGCCAAGGTAGTGGGTTCAATCCCTATACAGGATATTCTCTTGGGAGTTGGACTTGATGATCCTTGTCGATCCCTTCTAACTCAGAATATTCTGTGTGTGATATATCAGCCGTTCAAGTAGCTTACATGTATTTATAGTAAATCAAAATTTCATCTTGATTTCCGTTCCTTTCCCCACAAATTATACACTCTCCAAATCAGTTGCTTATTACCACAAATAAAAGGGAATAAACTGTAGCAACATGAACGCAGTAACTTCAGGTTTAGTTTTCCGAGTGGCATTGCATTTTTATTCTTGTTAATACCAGAGTTTTAGATAATGCTCTATCTTGGTGCTTTAATCTGTTCTTGAAGGAGCTGTCAATCAGCCAATTTACCTTTGTACTGGTTGGGTCCAGCTAGCATATGCAGACAATAAATACAGAGAAAAGCAGAAAGAAAACCCCTTCAGAAAAACTGGAACTTCAAAGCATTAAATCATCCTCACAAATTTTAAAATAAAGATGCACAGAACTACAGTATATTTCATCTGGAGTTGCACACAGAGGGACAAACTCATCCTTAGGCTCCTAAGCAGTTTCAGTGTAAATTGCTCCTTCATATATCTAAGCTCAAAATGTGGGTCATAAGTGGTTCGTATTCGTTCAGTATTTTTGTCTTTGAAAGTGTTGTCCTGATAAAATTCCAAGAGTCCTAAGAACAAATTGTTTGCCATTATGACAGCCAGTACTGACCTCCTATTCATTAATCAAGAAATAAAATCTTTTGTATTTTTAATCAAATTATCATCTTGTTCGATGAATTTGATTCTACGACTGTTATTAATTAAGGTGCTTTCTGACTTGACAGTATTTTCAATTTACAAGTTTCAGAAGATTTCAGATCCATTGGAAATACTATGAGTAATCTTCAACACTCCTTTTACCTTTTAAATTTATAACACTACTGATTTACTTTGGCTAAGAGACAGAAAATATATTGTCTTTACAAATTAAAATACAGTGCAAAAAAAGAAAATCATGGCTCTATCTACTAAGACTCAAAGTGTTCTCCTTGTCATACTAGGTTTCTTAGTTGAATAGGACATTACTTCAGAAGATTATGTAACTTTACTATTTTTACATCTCTTTTGTTTCCTCTGTTAATTACATTGTGTCAGCATTTCTGTTTTCAGTTCAACGGCTTAAAATGAAAAAAATTCTTTATGAAATCCATAGTTGTTAATAAAAATTAGTGCAAACAAAGGAACAAAAAATCTAGATAATAGATTGAGGAAGATCTTTGTGCAATAAACTTTTTTCTTTTTCTTTAGCAATATTCAGTAGTATCATTTTACCAAACAAATTAATATTCTTAGAAACCTTACTAACTAAAAAAAACCCCAAAACAAACAAACAAACAAAAGTATGTAAAAGACCAGTAAACCATTAGCCTATAATATTTGGACAGAATTTTCCAATATTAGAATATATACTATCACATTTTTTGTGTAAGTTATGTTTGTATGCCTTTCTACACTTTTCTTTCAATCAGCAAGAACTATAAGTAGTTCTCTGGTTTAAGTGTTTGTTCCAACTCAAAGCAAAAAAAAAAGTCAAATATTTGTAAGCTAGAAACTTTTGTAAGGTAGAACACAATCAGAATTATAATTTCCCACCTTTTTTTTTTTTTACTATTACAGATAAACATTCATACACTCTAGAGAAACAGTAAGGTAGAACAGAAAAGAAACCAACTCTAATTGTATTTCCAGTTCTGGATAGAATTGATTTTTCCATTTCTGTCTAGCCAAAATACTTGTACTTCCCCTCTGGTACAAACAGGACTCATGCTGCCCTTAATCACACTTGTGATACATAGAAAGAACCTTAATATTCCCAGCCCCCCCCCCCAAAAAAAAAAATAAAAAAAAGGTCTTACAGAAATATAATCCACCTTCTAGATCTCATCTAGATTTAATGGAATTCTAGATTTAATGGAATGCATATTGAGCACTGGTTTAAAGTCTGAAATAAAAATACACACCACCCTCCCATACTTAGGACCTGATTATGACCATTAATATGTGGTGTCTTCCCTCTTTGATTTAGTGCTTTCACAGACCAAACTTTCTGAGGCCTTTGTGTCTGTGAAATTCATCCCGGAGAATTTTAGGAATATATAAAATAGTATGTAATTTTCAGAAACCTGGAAATATTGTTAGAGCTACGCTGAAGTATCTGTGCTGCTGCCACATCAATGGCGTAGTGCACACACGCAGTCAATCTGTTACTTCCTGAAAGCATACAATTTTCTGTGCCTTCTCTGTACATATGTTTTGTACAGTTGCAATGAATATTAAAATTACTGTGTAAAGTAAAAAATATCTGTATTGTGATAAGCAGTAGATTTTATGCTTTTTGTCAAAGACTTCTCTTCAAAATAATCATGAAGAAAAATACAGATGTCTTTCATCAACTACACTGAGTTACTCAGTTGCCCCTTGCATCTGACATGGCAAATAAGGCTCTTCAGACTGACTTTGAAAACATCATCCTCAGAGCATCTCCAGGAGACCACGATACCAAGTTCTCCAGCCTGTTAAGCCAATATCATGATGTCTGACATGTAAATAATTTCTTAATTGTTGATGATAGGAGGAAAAATATTCTCAAATGTCTAAGACTAGTTAATTGTCAAATGTTTCCGCCTTCATAATTTTCCCATTTTTTCTAATTGCAGTTCTAAAACAGATCTTAATTAATGGAAGGTGATTAAATGGTTTGAAAAAGACTTACACAGGGTATGAATACAATTTGGGTCACTCACATGATTGACAGTTCTTTCAATGGCTCTTATCTCTCAAAAAAGCAGCCTGAGTTCACCAGCACAAATCAACTTTTACCGCAGAAACTAACAGACATTGCAGTGCTTGGCAAGATATGTCAGCTTGGGCACAGAACAACACTACTGTTACCTGTGTGTCTTCCAAGATGGAGCTTGCACACGTCTGGCTGACTCAAAGCTTGAAGGTTATTAGATTCCAGCAGACTCAGATCATGATACCTTGGTATCAAGGTGCTTATAGTCAAATTTATCCTGTCGAGATATTGTCTCATGGAAGTCTCATGAAGATCTCCATTAGTTTCCATGGAAAACAAAACTAAATTAACAAATTTCTTCCATGAAATAGATTTTGAGTACAGAGTCACATTCTTCCTGTTAGAGATTCCTCCTATTGTGTTTTCAGATTTTTAAAGGTAGAGTGACCTTAGCAGAAAAATATCACCAGAAATTACCTCCTGGAAAACAGGCTACACAGGTATGACTTAGGGGACCCAGTAATTGGATGAAGAGCTTTTTTGTTTTTTAAAACATCAGCTTTCCATTCAAGGACAATAATTAGTCAAGAGAGGCTGATGCTGGGGAAGTTGAAGGGAGGCATGACTTTTGAGACATGACAGGTGGAACAAAGATCTCTAACATCTTGAGAAGCTGTAAAATGCTACTCATGGTGTTTTTTATGTGCAGAACATATGCTTTAGGACTGTTACAAGAAATCATGTATTCTTTCTTTACAAACCTGTAAAAACACAAAATCCATTAAGACAGGGACTCATTTGACCTCCAGGTAATTTGAATATAAAAGAAGTACTACAGGCTTCCTGGTCCTCCTATGTGTAACTCTGGCTGAACAGCAATTTTATCTTGAAGTCATTCAATTATATTACAAATAAGTAAAGGATTAGAATTAAAATATAATGATTTAATATAACTTATTAATAAAGTATTGCAAGTGCAATTACAATACAGTCAGAGTACGTCAGGTCAACCAGTCTGCAGCACAATCAAAAACCATATTGAAAGGAGCAATTACAGAACACTGAAATCTTGATTCAGTAAAATTTTACTTAAATTTTCTGAGATCTCTTGACTGCTGGCATATGGTCAGGTGTTTCTCAAAATTTGAGGCATAATTGCATGCTGAGTTCAAAGTAATTTAAATAATATTGAGACTCAATGCTAGCAGAATGATGCAGTTAATAATACCATAAATACTGTGTGATCTTATAAATAAAATGTAAAAAATTCTTGCATTTTTTTTAATTTTTTTTCAATCATTGCTGCCTACTGCAAGCAACACTGGGATTTCTGTATTTTTTTCTTTGCCATTTCTAGAATCAGGGACAAAGAAATACTTTTTTCATCCTGGGCTTATTAACATACATAGGAAAAACATAAATATGTTTTGTTCTTGTAACTGCTCTATGGACAAAGACGAATGCATTTTTCACTAGTTTTGCTGCTGTTGCCAAGCAGAACTGAATATTATCTTATCTTTTTTGTTTTGCTTAACACAATCCTTCCCCAAGATGAAGTCAAGACCAAGGGCAGACAAATAATTCATATGGAAAAGAAAGATAAGTAAATATTCACCATAGGTATATTTGCTCCTGCATGGAAAGGCTAGTGAAAATCACGTGAAGAAAGTAAGTGTGTTTACATCTATTGATTCTCTCTTTAACATAGCATTCTTAGTAGGCACACTGGAGCCATTTTCCACTATCTGGAAACATCCTGTAAAGTATTCCTGCTCTGTACTGAGTTAGTGCCTCTGCCCTTTACTCACAAAGACGCTTAAAAGAGTGGGTGCATTATGACAGACACAAGAACTTCATTATATTATTGAGAAAAAAGGAAAACAGTTAATATTGTTTTCAAAGGAATATTATAACTTTCTCAATGAGTTTAGTGGTACAAAATTCACATTTTAAGGGTCTGATGCTGCAGGCTTTATTCATCCAAATTACTTAAATGGAACTATTTTTGTGAGAAAAATTGCTTTCAACTGTACTTGAAGATAAAATTCTTATCAATTCCTTGATATGAACTGATACAAAGATTTCAAACTACTCATTACATGGAGAGCAAAGTTTAAGTATAGAACTGCCTCTGAATTTTCTGGTTTCACAGCATTTTGACATGGGTTTTTGGTTTTTTGTCAGTGAAGAGAACATTTACAAGGACTTAAAATGTAGTCAAATTTTATCTCAGGATTTGATTATATCATTGTTTGTCCAAATTCTGTCATTTCTTTGGGTAGAACCCAACGAAAAGCAGTCTATGTATATGTTTGTGTGTGCGTGCATGTGCGCATTTCTTCATTTGCTCATTTGTGTTGTGTTCCCCTGTTATTGGACCCTTTCCTTTAACAGAACAATTCCAGAACTGCTCAAATGTGACTTGGAACAGGCTTCCTAAGGAAATGGAACAGGCTGCCCAGGAAATTGATCACGGCACCAAGTCTGCCAGAGTTTAAGGAGCATTTGGACAACACTCTAAACCACATGGTGCGATTCTTGGGGTTGTCCTGTGCAGAATCAGGAGCTGGAGTTAGACAATTTTTGTGGGTCCCTTCCAACTCAGGATTTTCTAAGACTTGAGTTCTCTTTGTAAGGACTTTGAGGTGTGGAACATCTCTTATCTGACCATGTGGTTCTCTGTAAACCACCTCTTCTAGACCATCATTGCTCTGATTTAGTTTGCTTTTAGGTCTTTTTCTGGTTTGTACTGTGATTTGTTACTGTGGTTTTAAGTCACATTTCGTAAGCATTCAAAAGAATCTGAATAGTGTGCTAAGATTCAGAACTCATACTTAATTTAATAAAGAATATACATTAAAAGGTACCTTATTTGAAATTATATTCATTGTGACAGCAAAACTAGCCAATTGAAAATAGTTTATAGAACTTTTATATGGATTCAATAACATTAGGGTTAAAATAATACCTTGATAATAAATAACTTCTGTAATTTCTTGAATAACATATAAGTAGGAAGTGAGGAAATCCAAGCTCTACAAGCCCTTTTTGTCAAATATATTTTCAAAATATTTTTTGCTCACACAGTTACTTGAATTCTTTGCACCTTAATGTTAAGAACTCTGCTTTGAAAATGGTGAGGGTTGCTTATTTTTAAAAAATATATAAATAAATCAAAAATGCACCTGATAATATTTATAGTCACATTGTGACAATCACTGCTGGCAGCTTAACTTTCATTTATGCAAAGTTTATGTACATAAGACTTTAATAGTTCTAGAAGAAAGGAACTAAAAATAAATGAAATTTTAACAGTAATCAAACCATTATTATATTTTGGTGGCACCATTTCAACTATTATTAATGGTACATTTCCAAAGGTCATAAAATAAATGTAACTTTTTTCGAGAAAGAAAACACAATACAATGATGCATATCAAAGGAATAAACTAAGCAATGGTAGATGAATCCTCAGCACGTTATCCAGACAAAATAGTTACACTCTGACCTGTTTTACTGTTCAAAATGAGTGAATCTCCTGTGACTGGACTCTAATCTCACAAGAGCTCAGGAAAAGCTCTAAAGTCTGCTCATGTGGTACTGAAAGATGGGTGAATACAGTGCAAACCCTCAACAGGTGGAAACTATATCCTAACAGTGTTATCAGATGTAAGAAAACTTACATCAACAGGAGACAATGAACATACTCTTTGGTAGTTTCAACTCTTTTTAGTCAGTTGTGTGTGAAGTACATATCACTGTGGCTTGAAAACTAGCAGTACAGAAAAATATTCTGTCTTATCTGATATGGTTTTCACCAGGCAAATCTTATTTCTGTAAGAAATAATAATATAAGCGCTTCTATATAAAGAACAAAAAACCCCTATTTTATTGCCCAGAAAGAGAAATAAAAGTAAATATGGATTTTATTAATAATTTTTCTTAGGGGACTTGGTCTTATGGGAAAAATTGTTTGAATTTCTTTTTTATTTCTTCCAAAGATGTTGTATCAGGAGCAGAGAAATTGATTAAAGGAGTTCTCAAAGGCAAACTTACAAAAAAATATTCTAAAAGTTGTGAAGCTCTTTTTTTGCCCTCCTTGGAGTCATATATATTATTTTGGTTAATTTTGTATATCAATTTCATTTCAATATAGAATTTGAAATGACTCAAAAAATAAATTTAATAGTGATCTGCATTTTTTTTGTTAATTGTCACAGAAACAACAACAAAGATGTAGATCTTTCCCAAAAATTGAAAAACTTGGGTTTAAGAAACAAAAGACAAATATTTCTTCTTTACCATTAATTTTTAATGGAATTATATCTCTCATTCCATGTACAGTTGCTTAGCACTTATGGAATCAAATATCATGGCTATTAGTTTCCTTTTGCAAATATCAAATTATTCTGAAAAAGTAACAGGCTTTGTATTTGCTTAATACTGCAATAAGTTCTTGATGTATATACTTAAAAAATATCCATAGGGAATATTTGTACCTGACAACTGAAAGCACTAAATTACACAGTAAAGGCCAAGGCAGCATTTTATTAGATGGTGGAGAGTTCCAAATTTTCTTTCTGTGAATAGAGGTATAGCCTCAAAGTGTATCCACTGATGTCATGGAATCATACAATTACAGAATGGTTGGAGGAGACCTTAAAGATCATCCAGTTCCAACCCATTTGCCATGGGCAGGGACACATTCAACTAGTCCAGATTGCTCAAAGTCCTATCCAACCTAGCCTTGAATATCTTCAGGCATGGAACACCAGCAGCTTCTCTGGGCAACCTGTATCAGTGCCTCACAACCCTTGCAGTAAAGAATTTCTTCTTAACATCTAATTTAAATCTCTCCTTTTTAGTTTAAAACAATTCTTCTTTGTTCTATCGTCATCTGCCTGTGCAAAAAGATCACTCTCTATTTTTATATTCCCCTTTTAAGTACTGGAAGGCCTCCCTGGAGCCTTCTCTTCTCTATGCTGAACAATCCCAACTCTCTCAGCTTGTCTTCATAGGAGAAGTGTTCCAGCCCTTGAGCACCGTCCTGGCCCTCCTCTGAACCTGTTCAAATAGGTCCACATCTGTCTTGTGCTGGGGACCAAAGAGCTGGACACAGCACTCCAGATGGGGTCTCACAAGGGCTGCAGAGAGGGTCAGAATCACCTCCCTCGACCTGCTGGTCACACTTCTGTTCATGCAGCTCAGGATGCAGACAGCTTTCTGGGCTGCAAACCCACATTGCTAGTTCATGTCCAGCCTCTCATCCCCAAGTCCTTCTCTTCAGGGCTACTCTCAATGACTTCTTCTACGAGTCTGTACTCATATCTGGGATTGCTCTGACCCATGTCAATAAAATGGGGTAAAGAACATAGAGAAAATTATTTGTATTCATAATATGATGAGGATTATATTCAAGTAAACGTTGTAGGTTCAATTTCTATGTAGCCTGTGAAATAAACCACTGTGAAACACTGGATTATTATATTAATTATTGGATCAGACCAACCCAAGTGGAAAGAGGGGAGGGGGAGATTGAAAGGAAAGGTGATGCCCTATCCCATACCCCAGTCCCTGCAAGTCTCCTTGGAAAACCCCAGAGCAGCTGTTAGTCAAAACCAGCCTGGGAGCATTGATGCATACCACACCCCCTTTTCTCCTTAAACCAGCCCCAGAATGGCTAACACACAGGGATCATTGCCACTCATCCCACCCCAGAGCTCTGGAGTGGTCAGTGGCCCCAAATCCTGCCTGGGGGCAGGGGGTGTGGCCACAGGGGGCCAAAGGAAACAAAAGCAGCAATATGTCTTCTCCATGCTTGTTCAAGCTCTCCATCGTATGGACTATTGTAGTTGGGCCTACACTGGATCTAGGGGTGGTAATTATAATTCTCTTTTTCTCTGTGTACTGGGTCCAGCTGAGCTGGAGCTCACTTTCCCATAGTATTCCTCACAATCCTGTGCTTTGCACTGGCAGCTAGAAGGGTGTTGATAACACACAGGTGTTTTTGCTACTGCTGAGTATAGAATCAGTGCTGTAACATTCCTTTCTCAGTCTAGGTCAAGATCCTGGGAGGGGACACAAGTTGGCCAGCTGACCTGTGCTAACCAAAGGGATATTCCATACCATATGCCGTCAGCTCAGATAAAAAAGAAGGCAAGGAGCAGGAAAGGCAGGCATTCACTGTCTCCAGTGGCTGCCTGCTGAGGAACCATTACGTGTGCTGAGGCCCTGCTTCTTGGAGGTGGCCAACCACCGCTGCTCATGGGAAGTAGAGAATAAACCATCTTATCGCTTTTGCGCGTGCAAGCTTCCGCCTGGCTTCTGCTTTAACAAACTGCCTTACCCGTACCCACGAGTTGTTGTCCATCTTACTCTCTCCCATGACCAACTGGGAAGGGGACTGATAGAGCAGCTGGATGGGCACCTTGTGTCCCGCCAAGGTCAACCCACCATACTCTGTCTTTCTTTAATTCTTCTCCTAATTTCCTTTCTTAATATTTTGGGTAGCTTGAGACTGGTTGGGTGGAATGTTGGTGTTGCATGGGTTAACATGTGCTAAGTCAGTGCTTTGTGGAATGCTTTATTCTGGTTGAAGCTTACCCTTTAAACTTTTGAGAAGTTCCCTTATTTTCTAAAGTTTACCAGTAGATGTACCTCCTGAAAAAATGTGTGTTTCTTCTTTGTACTTTCTCCTAAAGTGTTAAAAGAACTGAAAGCTCTTCTAATATATCCAGAGGGTAGATATTGTTGGAGCCTTGTATATATTTAAAGTAAACCCCCTGCAGTGAGCTTGCAGCTGGGGGCCTAGAGTCTTACAGACACATAGTTGCTGGCCACCAAGTCTGCATTGATCACTAAGGTTTTTATTCATTAATTCATTTTTTCATTTTATTCATGTTGGTCATTAGCATCCAATGGTATCTTAGATGCCTTACAATAGTAGGCCAATCTTCAGCGACTGGACTGTATATATCACCTGTGGAAAATTCAGATGTTTGAATTAGAAGCTTGATAGGACATGAGATGTTTTGTGTCATCTCAAATGGCAAGAGATGCCTATGGGTGGCCAGTCAAATTGAGGACAAGAGTATGAGAAATATTTAACATTTAAGATAAATGCTGAAAATGTAAGTAATTTTTTTTATGCCATATGTAAATAAAAGGAATGCACAAAATGTTTCCTGATATTTATTTTCAGATAATAGGGGTAGGAAGGAAGAAAGGTGATGTTGCTTATTATTCTATAAGACTTGCAAAAGCATTACATTGAGCACTACTGACAGCCTATGTAGACCTTACAGTTTAGTTTCTACTCTTAAGCAAAGCTAACAAGTAGAATAATTTTTTTCCTATATATGAATAATAGCTAGTCAAATTCAAATGAAAACTCTGATAAAGCTCAAAAAAGATTTCAAAGTAATTACTCTGAGCTAATCAGATTTGATCTGTAATCTGGGATACTGGCTTCTTGCTGCAGATCTTTTCCTCTCATTGAACTAACTACGGCCCATTGAAAAAATTATGAAATCTAGGTTAACACTTTAGGAAGGAATGTCTTTCACCACTGAATAGTAACTAAACTCTTGCTGGTACATATTTCTTTCAGCCATACATCAGTTTGGATGCTATCAACAAAAGAATAATTTAATTCACAGAACTTTGACTTGAACTCAAAAAACCAATTTTCACACTGCCTGAAATAAAGGTAAGAAAATAAAGTACCTTGTTGCTAGTAAAGAGGCTATTCTATCACTGGCACAATGCTTTTTAATGACTTTTAGGACTTAACCTTCACACTAGACATCTCCTATCCAGTTGCTTTATCATCAGTGCCACAGGTAACAGCATAGTGAAGAAC